GGAGCAGGAGCAGGAGCAGGAGGCAGGAGCAGGAGCAGGAGCAGGAGCAGGAGCAGGAGCAGGAGCAGGAGCAGGAGCAGGAGCAGGAGCAGGAGCAGGAGCAGGAGCATTGTCAGCAGTATTAGCAGTAGCATCAGCAGTAGCATCAGCAGTAGTAGCAGGAGCAGGAGCAGGAGCAGCAGTACTCGCAATAGCATCACCAGTAGTAGGAGCAGGGGCAGGGGCAGGGGCAGGGGCAGGAGCAGGAGCAGGAGCAGGAGCAGGAGCAGGAGCAGGAGCAGGAGCAGGAGTGGCAGTAGCAGTGGTCTCACCGCTGCTCGGAGCATCTCGAAGCTGTCAGGTGTCGCTGAAAAGAGAGTCGTCAGCAGTCTTTGCACGGTACAGGTGCTAGAATGAAGCCTGGCATGGCTTCGCTGATGACATTCACAAAACATGCGCGCATGCCATGTTTGTCAAACCCCTACAGTAGTGACAAGGGTCCTGTATATTTCCGCGGTCCTTAGGAATCAACGAGGCGAAATGTATCAAATAGGGGGGCCTAGGGTTTCTCTTTCTCGGATGGGAGTGGGAATGTAGCAGTCGTCGTCGTAGTAGTAGTAGTAGTAGTAGTAGTACTAGTAGTAGTACTAGTAGTAGTACTAGTAGGAAAGACCGGAGGAGCAGCAGCAGCATCGGCAGCAGTAGTAGTAGTAGTAGTAGTAGTAGTAGTAGTAGGAGCAGCAGGAGCAGCAGGAGCGGCAGCAGCGGCGGCAGGAGCAGCAGGAGCAGCAGGAGTAGCAGCAGTAGCAGGAGCAGGAGCAGGAGCACGCGCGTAGCAGACACCAGATTTCCCGATAGCACGGATCCTTCACTTTCGTCAGCGCTATTCTGACTCTATATCCTCAAGCCCGTAACACCTAAATCTTCAGGTCAATATTTCACACTGTCCGGGGTCCCCACATTGAAACCTAAACTTGAGACCCTGTTGCACTTCCAAAGAGCCAGCAAGCCTTGAAGACGAGGATCCTGTAACTCTCCATCCTTGACGCAGGCATCGCCTGCTGGCACGGTGGTGACAAAGGCTGGTTTGTAACAGGCATGTATGTCAGAGGGCAGGCTTGCGTGCCAAGTGCCTCAGGCCCAATGCATGGGATACTTCGACGCACTGGCTTCAGGGTACGGAATTAAGCTTACCATCCTTCAAGCAGGCCGTGGGTTTAGGAGTTTATTGAGGGTGATGTAAACTTCATCAACGAGTGTCTTTGCCCGAGGTGATTTTTCAGGCGCAGAGAGTTGATACCGTCGCCTCTGGAGCCCACTGTGGTTAAGCGATGCGGGAGTGCAGGAAGCTTCAGCCCTAAGCCCTCAATCTACGACACACAACAGCACTGAGCTTTAAAATTCCACCCTTGTTCCGTCAACCCTAGACCCCTGAACCCGAAGCCCTGTCACCCTCAAAATGTAAAAAGCCACCCTAAGAGTCCTCAACGCTAAAGCTGAATCCTAAAGCTCCGAATCCTTGCACATCGTTTTTCCCAAATCCCTAGACTTGGCTCCGTCTAGGCTCCTGCGTCGAAGGCCGTCGTGGTCAAGGCAGTTTTTGGACCCTTCATTTCAGACGTGTTTTCGGGTTTGGGTGCTCAGGGCCGTACTGAGGAGCGCACTAAGGGTTTTAAGGTTTAGTTCAGGGCTTTAGGGCTTGAGTTTGAGCATTTAGGGCTTAGGATTTATGTTCACCTTCTGCCATGAATGTACAGCAATCGCCAAGGTCTACAGGTACCGAGCTTGTGCTCTGCTAGGCTAGGGTCGTAGCCTTAGATTGCGGGGCAGAGATAGGAACCGGAGACGCCTGGCTAGAAACCCCAACTCTTCATGAAGAAACCATCTGGCCCAGGCGCTGCCTGCAGGGACAGCTCCTGCAAAGGCCAGCGCAGTCCGGTTTCGGGTTTAGCATCTGGGGCGTTGGATTTGGGTTGAGGGATTTAGAGTTCTAGGTTTAGGGCTGTTACTATTACCTTATCCCTAAATCCGCCACCGACACGGAATGCAACGGGTTTGGAGCAACCTAGTAGCAGCAGTCAGCAGTCACAGTACACCCCAATTCAAAGCAAACGCAGCCCCCCGAGCACTCATCGTAGTTGTAAGGCCGTTCCAGAATTGAGCCTCCACCCTACCAGACGAAAAATCGGTAAGCCTTAGTTTAAAGCCCTGCAGGCTTGCAGCCCTAGACTGGAAGTATCCGACAAAACCCCAAAAGCCCATTTAAACCCCAGCAGCCATCATGACATCCAGCAAGCTTATTGAAGCCTCCGACGCTTCGTCCTGCTAACCCCGAAAAGAGCTTAAGAACAAATGCGGCAACGAGATTGTTCATGATCATCATAATGGCACATGACAACTTGCAAAATACGAACGGTAGTAGTAATCATGATACGGATAATGACAGTAATGGAAATTGTGGTACTAACCACGCAGTAGCAGTTATGATAGTAGAACGCATTCCCCAGATAGCTGTAGCTATGAGGGGTTCTAGCTAAACAAGGAAACCGCGCCGCTGTGTCCACCACAGCCGCAGCGGCATGCAGTCGGCATGCACGCGGCCGTGTCCACCGCCAGCGAAGGGGGTGCAGCGGCATGCAGGTGGGGCGTGCCGTGTCTGTGGCCGGCGAAGGGGGTTCAGCGGCATGCAGTCGGCATGCAGGTGGGGTGCGCCATGTCCGCCGCTAGCGAAGGGGGTTCAGCAGCATGCAGTCGGCATATACAGGCGCAGGTGAGGCGTGCCGTGTCCGCCGCCGGTGAAAGTGGTGCAGCGGCGTGCATGCGGCACAGGGCGCGGCGGCATGCAGTCGGCATGCAGGCACAAGGCGGGTCCAACAAACGCTTCTGAACCCGCCCAAATAAATCGCCAACGGAAAAACCAACCCAAATTAGTTATATTTTTGGGCGAGTTTTAGGGACTGATTTCCGGGTTGAAAACTAGCCAGTGTCAGCAACAAGTGCACAAGCCTGGTCCAAAACATGCTCCTGGACTTGCCCAAATTGCTAATGAAGAATCAACAAAACTTAGATGCTTTATTGTGCGAGTTTTGGGAGCAGCAAGTGCGATGCCGGATCAAAAACCGCTCCTGGACCCGCCCAAATTACAACAGATAAAGCAACAACATTTAGTTGATTTTTCAGAGAAAATGTGGACTGATATCCGGCTTGAACGCTCGCCGCCAACGTCAGCAACAAATGCACAAGCCGGGTCCAACAAGCTTCCTGGACCCGCCAAAATTACCATTCGAAAATCAGCCACATTTAAAATGTATTGTGTTTTTTGAAAAGTTTCGGGGACGGATTTCGGGAGAGCTATCAGTGAGTGCCGAACACCAGGATGTGTGCTGAGGGTATAGGTGGGCCACACTACTTGCTGTTCTTTGTGCTGGAGGAATCATGGTGCCCTGCATTGGAGGGGCTGCTCAGGAGGACAGGGTCCCCTGGCTGCCCAAACGCCAACTACACGTCAAACTGCAGTACTGTTGACGATTGCTGTGCATCAGGAAATGGGTGGGGCTACCCCTACTACGACGCCTGGAGCGGGCAGCAATGGTGCGACACCCCAGTTGGGCATCAGCGGAGCGCCTCCTGCGATGCAGAGCTAAGCAGGGGGTGTTCCGAGTGGCTCAGCTCCCTCGGCTCTTCCAAGAACACAGAAGCTGGATGCCTTTGTGTGTGAATGCTTGAACGTTCAGAGTTCGGATGGATCCTCGAAAGTATGTGATTCTTTTTGAAGAGGAGCGTAGTTCTTTGCGTACAAGGATCCTCAATAGCAGGATGCAGCCACTGAGCTGCCGGGCTATGCCTGCCTTTCGTCTATCATCGGAGCGGATCGGTGAGATGTGTGTAATGCAATGCCACTGCCACTGCCATCGCCATTGCCACCGCTACCGCCGCTGCCACTGCTGCTGCCACTATGGCTGCTGCTGCTGCTGCTACTACTACTACTACTACCACCACTAACCACCACTACGAAGGATAATTACTGTTAGAGGTAATACGTACTATTATTGTTATTATTATTAGTATGGCAACAATAAGTCCAACAGTAGTGATGATAACCATGATCATAGTAATACTCACTATACTCATACTTAGGAAAACAATAAGCATGGTACTGATGATGATAAAGGCTGGAGAACAGAAGTAATGATAGGAAATAGTTGTGACAGTAGTAAATGCGCCGTGCTCTTGAATTCGCCAATACTTGGGGGAATCCCGAATCTTCGTGAATCATGCCAGTACTTGAAGGATTCTGTTTTGGCTGTGGTCCTGAATCCCGCACTGCTGAGGAGAAGCATGTTGGGCGTCGTGTTGAATGCCACCAGTGGGGAAAAATCTTGTGGCGTGCGCCTGAATCCCGCCAGTACTTGACGGTCTGCTGTTTGTGGTCTTACAGTTTGTTTTTGTCTTTTGGTGGTCTCCTGGTGCTGTCCTGGCGGTCTCGTGGTGGTTTCTTGGTGGTCTCCCGTGGTCTGCGCGCAATGTCCTCGTGTCTCCTTGTCCTTGTGGTCGTCCGGGTCGCCGTGGTCGTCGTCGTCATGGTCATCGTGGCGATCTTTCACTCGCGCGCCGTGCGGCGTCACTGACCAATTCGCTTTATTTCCAGCATAAGAAGCTCATGGTGTGTTCTAACCTTTTTGAAGTTGGGATGATTACAATGTTAATTATGTGCAAGTTAGTCAGGAATGGTAGTAACAGTACTGGTAGTAGTCATCGTTATGGCAAAAGTAGTAGCAATAGATAGTGATTGTAAAAGAAACAGGAACTAATATCAAAAAACGATATAGTTATAGTATTTATTCGTACTAGTAACAGTAATAGTAAGATCAAGTAATAGTAATACCAAGTACCGGTAATAATAATGGTAATATCAAAGCTATAGTACTGGTAAGAGCACTAGAAAAAACAATAGTAATAGCAATAGCAATAATGAGAATAGTAGTAATGGTACTATCAAAAGCAATAAAAGTAATAGTAATAGGAATAGGAATCGGAATAGGAATAGGAGTAGGAGTAGGAGTAGGAATAGTGATAGTGATAGTGATAGTGATAGTGATAGTGATAGTAATAGTGAT